TATATATATATATATATACACACACACACACACATATATATATAATTTATATATATATATAATTTCTTATATATATATATTTCCTTTGCAAGTATATATATCACATTACAAAATTGGGTTTATACCTTGTATACAATTTCCCATTGTTTAAAAAATAACTTGGATGATGTTAAGGTTTTATTTGATTGTGACTTTTAGAACAAGGCCCAATCAGAGTGACCAATAAATACTTCAGAGCCTTTGTTCTTAAATGACTACATAACTGGTTTTGCTGGCATATAGTGTATACTGCATATCTGTACACAGATAATCTAGCTGGCCCATAGCAAAATATGATGGTGTCAGTCTAGCAGATGGAATGGAAATATGGTATAATATATTGCTTCCTGTGCTTACATACGTATAGAAGTCCGAGAGAGGGAGATTTCAGTAATCTGTACTTGTCATTGGTAGTGCCCCTCAGTTGATCCAGATGTGGCTGTGAAATGATTGATACTGTTTTTATCAATGTGAAATTTGATGTGCTACCTGGACTTATTTCTTGGGCAGAAAGAATGTCCCGTTTTTTGGTGTCAAGCCTGGTGCCTGGCACATAGTGGGCTCATAGTAAATGTTTGTTGGAAGAATGAATCATCTGAAATGCTGCCATTTGGAACAACATGGATGGACCTTGAGAGCATTCTGCTAAGTGAAATAAGTCAGACAGAGAAAGACAAATACTGTAGAGTATCACTTATAAGTGGAATCTACAAAATCCAAACTCATAGAAACAGAGTAGAATGATGGCTACCAGGAGCTGGGGGGTGTTTGTCAAAAGTTACAAATTTCCAGTTAGAAGATGAATAAGTTCTGGGGGATCTAATGTACAGCGTGGTGACTCAAGTTAATAATACTAGATATATACTTGAGACTTGCTAAGGGAGCAGATCTTAAATGTTCTCACCACAAAAAAAGAAATGGTAATTATGTGATGTGATGGAGGTGTTAGGTAACACTATGGTGGTAATCATTTCACAATATAGAAGTGTATCAAATCAACACATTGTACACCTTACACTTACACATTATTATATGTCAATTATATGTCAGTAAAGCTGGAAAAATAAAAGAATGAATTAACTTCTCAAACCTCAAGCATTCAGAAATAATTTTCACATACATATTTAAAATCAGTTTTCTGTACAACTAAGCAAGACAGATTTTAATCAGAATCTTTCTGTATAATGTTATATGTCAATTACACTCCATTAAAATTTGATTTAATCAAAATCTTTCTTACGACTTCTTAGGAAGTCTTAGGTTAAATTCCATTGCAGGAAAATCATTTTCATAAAAAACGTCTTCTGAAAAAAGTTCACCCATATCATTTCAGATACTTGTAATATATATTAGTCACCTTTTAAGAAGATATGTTAATGTTTTCATTTTCTGGAGGTATGTGCTATGCATTTTACAGCAGTAATATAATTGAACTTTGGTTTCACAGTCAAATCCAAAAAGTAAATGATAATTTGGTTATATTATAAGTCAAAAATGAGGCAATTATATGTGAAGTTGCTGAAAATTAAATCACTGCAAATGCCTCATGTTGAATATGGTTATTTAAAGGAATATTTTTGCTGTGGTATATTAAAAGAATAATTCCCTATAAGCAAAGTGCCTGCCATGTTGTAGGCATTAAGTACTGGAGTGAAAAACCATGACCAAAACATGAGGCACTAAAAAAATCTCTTAAAAACATTGGTTAATTTAAGTAAAAAGCATACACTTTGGATTAGCTTTTTTTAATAATAAGCACTGATTTTTAACAGCTATTACACATATTTCAACCACATATGTGTTGCTTGTTTTGATTTTTATTTATTTTTTAAAAATGTTTATTTATTCATTTTGAGAGAGAGAGAATCCCAAGAAGACTCTGTGCTGTCAGTGTAGGGCCTGACGTGGGACTTGAACTCACCAACCGTGAGATCCCGACCTGAGCCGAAATCAAGAGTTGGCGTCCCTTGTTTTGCTTTTTAATCCAACCAGGGTAGTGAGGGGAATTGCAGTTCTGAGTTTTGTTTAAATCAGGTTCTAATCTTCATGTTGCTATTTATTCACAGTCTTGTTAATATAGAGATTTTTTCCCTGACTTTTTCAGTTTTAAAATAATTTCCCAAAGTAGAGTAAATTTATCCAAAGGAAGGGAACTTTTATTTTTATCTGCTTCTCACAGAATCACTTTCAGTTTACAGGAAATTCTATTGAATGGGCTAGAGAATGATCTCAAAGGTTTAAGTAATGTATGGTAATGGAAACATGTGACATATCTTGTACATATATATTTTTTAATTTTTTTGAAAGAGAGAGAGAAAAAACATGAGTGGGGGAGGGGCAGAGGGAGAGAGAGAAAATCTTGAGCAAGCTCCATGGAGCATGACTTGGGGCTCCAAGACCCTGGGATCGTGACCTGAGCTGAAATCAAGAGTGGGACACTCAACCGACTGAGCCACCCAGACTCATGGGACATTTTTTTTTTAAAGTTCATCTGTAAATATGTAGCTTTTGGCTCTGAAGTGTATTGTTGCTGTATTAGGGATGGACAATTTCTGAGCACCATCTTTTCTTTACAATTTAAGGATTGATTATGGTGCTGAGTATTGGGAATCTGGGCAATAAAATGGTCTGGAAGTATTGTCTTGCCAACTGTTACTTATTTACAGGACACTGTGTTGTAGTCCTAGAAAATACTGTCTCACACTAGACTTGGAGGTTGCCATTCTTATTCTATGGTGATATTGTTGAGCTTCTACAGATCTCAACTTCTTTGGGCATTTATATGTCTCCTATTTTAAAAAATGTTGAAAATGTTTAAATCACGTTTATAGTTCCCCAATCCTTGATTTTCGTTTGTCCTCATTCTGGTCTGTGCTCAAAATGACTTCCCACTGTGTTGATAGGGAAGGCAGAGATTGTGTCTGTCTTGTTCATTATTGCTTCCCCAGTGGTTAGCACTATATGTGGCACAAAATAGGCTCTATTTGTG